TCCCGAGGGTCCTCTGTCTAGCTCCTGAGAATGAAGCGAACTCCTCCGCACTCCTGCAGGCTCCAACTGAAGGCCTAGCTGAGGCTCTGCAGACCAAGCAAGCAGGCCCCATGTTGCCACCTCTAGATTGGAATGTCTCTAATCTTGGCCCAGAGGAGCAGGAGCTGACCTGGTAGAGTTGGAGAAACGTTTGTGTGGATCCTTTAGGCAGGGGTTAGAAACCTTTGTGAAGGGCCAGACAGTTAAGTGGTTCATGTTTTGTGGGCCCAGAGGCAAAATTTGAGGGTCTTTTTAGGTGCTTCATTTGAACTAGAGGAAAGAAGTAAACCTTTTCAAGATGCAACTTTACTGTTGAGAAGAGTAGGATTCCTTGTGGGAATCGGTAGCTCATCAGCACTTCACCTTGCTGGTGGAGGGGTTCATCTGTGCCAAGTCTTCCCTGCACAGTAGCAGACGAGCGGGCAGATTGGGGCTCTGGGACCCTGGTCCCATCTCGACCTGCTGCTCCCAGCTCATCTCCTCAGACTGGGCTTGCCAGCATGCCAGCGCTTCCCTGGGACAAAGACAGACATCCTCCAAAGGGGGAGGGGTGTGCCACATGGTGACATCTCTCCTAAGCCCATGGTAGGAGGATAATGGAAGGAGCCCCAGTCCCAGTGACCCCAGGGCAGCATCCCCGGGGCCTGGCGCACAGAGGGAAAATGGAAAGTGGAAAGCATGTTTGAAAACAGAATGTTATAGTGCCCGGAACTTGAGAGGGAGCAGACCTATGGAGACAAAGTTCCTATTTTTACCTAATTGTAGTTAATTTTACTCCCCCCCCCCTTTTTTTTGGAGGGTGGGATGAGGGCTCTGAAACAGTGCTCAGGTGGCCCGGGGTCTCCCTCATTTCAATTCCTGTCCAACAACTAGTGACTGATTCACTGGAGGGCCCCAAAATGTGTTGCTGAGCCAGAGTGATCGTATAGCAGGTGGTGCCGAAAGCACATGGCTGACCCGGGTTTGATCCCTGACATCCCATATGTTCCCCCTGGGCACCACCAGAAGAATTTCTTGAGTGCAGAGCCAGGAGTGGTTCCTGAGCAGTGCTGGGTGTGACCCCCCCAAAAAACAAAAACAGAATGTGGTGCTCCTTGGATTCTGGGGTGTGGAGGATTACCTGGGTCACCCTATCAGTGCTCTGGGCTTCCCAAAGTCATACTCATTGAAGCTGGACATATCCTGGGATTCACCCAACAGTGCTTGGGGGACCACGTGGTGCTGGGGATTGAATCTGGGTCGGCCGCACTCTGGGCATGTGCCCTGACCCCTGTACTCTCTGAACCCTGCACCACATTTTTGTATGTGGTCAGTGGCCATCCCCTTGGCCAGCCCAGGTCTGAGAAGGAACTTTGGGCAGTCTGTGTCCCTCCTTGGGGCTCCCCTGCCCCCACACTGCTCACTGTTGGGGTGGTTGCTCCGGTTACAACGCGGGCAAGTTGGGGTGGGAGGTGAGGGGACTGAGCCACTTTGGGGGATACATGAGAATCACAGCTACTAGCACCACTTTTGGGTGATCAGAGGAGATACTTCAGAAGCGATGCAAACAGTTGTTTATTTTCCTCCAAGTATCTGAGACACATTCCTACAGCCTTCCTTATGTGATAAATTTACTCTGTGAAACTCGTGTTATAAACTAAAGGTCAGCTTCCGTCTCATCATCCCCAGAACTAATGAGGTCTGTGCAGACAGATGTAAGCTGGTGTGTGGCTCACGCTGGGTCTGGAGGACTTTTTTTGGGTCTTGCCAATGTTTATAGTTTCTACACACAAGTTCTGGTACAAGTTGCAGCTCATTTTCCCCTCTTGATAGATTTGGGTAGAGTTTGGGGCATAGTGCGGATATTTAATAGGATTAGAAATCTCAACCAATTGGAAACCTTTAGTGTCTTGAGACTTTCAACTTTCATTTTCTGTTATTTTAAAATTCTGTGCTTTTCAAATGCCTTTTTTTTTTAATTGAGAGGTTAATGGTTTCAGTATGATAGTATCAATATTCTGTTTTAGGCATAGAATGTCACTGCATCACACCCACCACTCAGGAACCAATATCCTTCCTCCGCTGTCCCAGAGTCTCTTCTCATTTACCTGTCCCACCCCCCACCCCAACACTCTTTGCTTGGCAACCTCCGTTCTTTTGGCACTGTCTCATGGGTTGTTTCCATTGGCCATCATCTCTTCCTTTGCTTTGTCTCTTTATAATCCACATATGAGTGACATGTCCAGATTTGTCCTTTTTTTTTTTTTTGACTCACTTCACTTCCAATCACACCCTCCAGTTCTGCCCATGTTGTACTGAAATGTAATGTCTTGTCTTAGATCTGAGTAGTAGTCCTTTGCATCTGTAGATCACATCTTTGTTCATTTGTTGTTGCTTCCAGATCTGGGCTGTTGTACCTAGTACTGCAGTCAGCAGGAGACTTTTAAATGCACTCAGTCTTACGCATTCAGACTTCTTGTGACCAAGTTTAATCTTAATTATCCATAAATAAGCACCATAATGAAGGGTGTGATTTTTGAGCAAGGCAGTAATTGCTTTTCTCTCTTGCAGTTTTAATTAAAAATTACCTCTACCGCCTACCACTCCTTTTTATTCCCAGTCTCTTCTTCAGTTGAAAAGCAAGTTATTACGTATATTTATTTCCAAGTTTAGGAAATAGTACTTCCCCTTTAATAACAAAGCTAGAAGACTCCATATGGCGGCATATTTTTTCAAGACCTCTGCACAGTGAATGATTGGGCAGGGGGAATTTATCAGAGTTCAATGGTGTTAAAAAGTCTATCTGATCAGTGATAGGTCTTCCACAATGGGGTGTGTGTGGCTCCCCACAGTCCCTGTTTTTCTTCATATGATTGAGTCAGATGCCATTGAGCAGGCAGTACTGTGTTAGTTTGTGTGTCTAGCAGAGTCGGCAGAGCCAGCGTTTGGTCAGGTAAGGTGATCTTGCAGACCATTGACCGACTCTTCCATAGTCGTCTGCCCTACACCGACCTCCAAGGGGCTTCCAAGCCCTCACCTTTGTCTAGCAATCACCTTAGTCCCCTTTTCTGCCTGCTCAGAGCTGTGACCTTCGCATCCAGCCCACATGACCCTCCTGCTAAGAAGCCTGCAGTAACCGCTTGTTGTATGTATCCAGGCACAGCTGGTCACCGTTGCTGGGATCTGAAGCCCTGCCTGGCTAGTCTTGTGGTCATTTCTCAGTTACTTTTTTGGGTCATGGTCTATGCCAGGCTCTCTGCTGGGCACTGGGAATATACTGATGAACATGTTCCTGCCCTTAGAGTAGAGCACTGAAAAAGGTAGAAAGAATAAAATTAATTTTATTAATGGGCTGGATCAGTAGCACAGCAGGTAGGGCATTTGCCTTGCACACAGCTGACCCAGGTTTGATTCTGCCGCCCCTCTCGGAGAGCCAGGCAAGCGACCGAGAGTATCTTGCCCGCAAGGCAAAGCCTGGCAAGCTACCCATGATGTATTTGATATGCCAAAAACAGTAACAAGTCTCACAATGAAGACGTTACTGGTGCCCGCTCAAGCAAATCAATGAACAATGGGAGGACAGTGCTACAGTGCTAATTTTATTAATATTTTATTTGACCTGTTATGTCCATAATTTTCCTGTGTGGCATCAGCCCCATTTTAAGGGCTCAGATGCAGCCAGTGGGTGGGGCACCATTGGATAGGGCGGGGCTAGAGGTCAGTATATAAAGTCAACCCTTGACTCCTGGTTTTGTCAGACTTAGTTGGATTCATGTTGGAGATCCACTTTTGCCAGATTGAGAACTCCATGCAGTTTTGGGCATTGCTCCATTCTCTCCATCATGTCTTCTTTTTCCACTAAAATTGTGAGCACCAGTCACCCTGTTTTAGCATCCACTAAAACAGTCACTGTTGCATTAGCACAGAACTAATGATACCTCTATTGAATATGGATTTGAGAAGTAACTTGGGAAGGCCGGGAGAACAGCATATCTCTCTCTCTCTCTCTCTCTCTCTCTCTCTCTCTCTCTCTCTCCAAACTGGTCATTCCATTTCAGGCAGAAACTATTGTAGTTTTTATGGTCACAGTGCGTGCTAGTAAACCATGTTAACAGGTAGCTGCCATGTACCAGGTATCAGGCCAGGTGCTTCTCTGCAGTTCTTCATTAGTCTTTACAGTACCCCTGTGATTGGGGTCACTGCACAGCTTAAAGGGCTCACCCCCTCCGGTCACATCTGAAAGTGACACCCAGCCTTGACTGGTATTTAATTAGGTAGCATGGTTTCCTTTGACCCTGTATCTTTTGTGAAAGTCGTAATCAGATCTCCACATTTGGCAAGTGCCTGTATCAGTACCGTGTGAGCCGCTCCTTTGTGCTAGACACAAAGTAGTGGCGAGAGCCGTATGCTCAGACTGGGTTGTGGCTGTTACACAAATATTTGCTGACTGTTAATAGACACAAGTGTATCTGTGTAATTATCCAGCCTTGAGAAGTAGGGACTTTACTCGAGGTTTCTGAAGAGAGGTCTGAGTTCTACTTCTAACACAGTCACGCTGGGTGTTGCCAGCATGTCTGCCTTCCTCTAGCCCATGCAGCCTGTGCCTCCACCTCCCTACATACAAGCTGCTCTTAGTTCCTGCCCACTGTCCTCTGCCTGTGATAGGGCTTGGAGCACAGAGTAGATTGCTTCCACAGGAACATCCAAGACTTTGTCTTGGGTTCTTTGTCAAGTTAGTTCTTTGTCAAGGACGATGCAGATGGCTCTTGTCCAGCAGCAGGTCGTGTGGACCGAGCTGACTTTTATGTTGAGGTGGGTGCAGCCAAGCAGCATGAAGAGAGGTTTGGGCTTGCAAAGGGCTGATTCTCACCCACGCAGGGATCTGTGCCACCAAAGTCCGACAGCCACTCCCACATCGGAGCTGCACTAGTTGAGATCCAAGGCAAACACAGGTTTTAATCAGTATATTCTTTGCATTTTAGGCTTTGGACGTGGACCGGATGGTACTTTACAAAATGAAGAAATCCGTGAAAGCAATCAATATCTCTGGGCTGGGTGAGTATGCATTCTTTCCTAGAAGTTTCTCTATGGAAACACATCCCAAGTACTGAAGCTATCGTATTCATCAATGACTGTCAGGCAAGTCCCTTTTTAATGTTGGGACAATCACTTCATATGAAGTAGGTTTTGATGTTCTCACTGTCTCATTCTGATGTGGAGTTTCATTTTCCCTTCCCCACATTGTCCCCTGCTGTGCTCCTGTTCCCCAAAGTGCAGCGGATTTTCCCGGCACAGCTCTGCCCCTGGGGATTCCACTTCTCCAGAGTGAAATGATCACCTTTGTCCAGCTTGTTGACACCCCCCACGACGCCTCCTGTGCATGGTAGCATCGCAGAATGCCCTTTCTATTGTGCTCACCCAATCTTACCTTTGTTGTTGGGAAAAATTGAACAAAACCAAAATCAACAACTCAGTACTATTTCTTCAAGATATGTAGCACTGTAACACTGTCCTACCATTGTTCATTGATTTGCTCGAGCGGGCACCAGTAACGTCTCCATTGTGAGACTTGTTGTTACTGTTTTTGGCATATCGAATATGCCATGGGAAGCTTGCCAGGCTCTGTTGTGTGGGCGGGATACTCTCCGTAGCTCTTGGTAGCTTGCCGGGCTCTCCGAGGGGAATGGAGGAATCAAACCCGGGTCGGCTGTGTGCGAGGAAATGCCCTACCCACTGTGCTATATCACGCCTGCCCTTCAAGATATGTATACTATATAAAAAGAAACCGCTGAGGATCCAAAGAGATAGCTAGTACAGCAAAGCAAGACTCTGGTCTTGCATTCCCCAAACCAGAGTTCAGTAGAGCCCGAGTGAGTGTGTGTGTGTGTGTGTGTGTGTGTGTGTGTGTGTGTGTGTGTTTGTATGTGAGTATGAGAAAGAGAAAGAGAAAGAGAGACAGAGAGAATGAGAATGAGAGAATTGCAGCTTTGGACTTAAAGATGTCAGGCTGTACCCCTATGACAAGTCAGCCCCAAGCATAGAGCTGATAGAAAATAGTTGATAGAAAATAGTTTCTAAAAATCACATAGTAACTTTATAGTTCCACGAAGAAAAAATATGGCGACTTTGTTAACTAGAAATGATGAGGAGTCCCAGCAATTGAGACAAATCTGATGGGCTACAGAGAAAAGACGAGTTGGTGGATGACCTGAGCAGGCGGGATGAGAGAGCCACTCTGGATGCCAGATGTGGAGATAGAGGGCTGGCCAGGGGGAGACATACTGTCACTGTCCTGGCAGGAAAATGAAAGCACTATAGTCTACTTTGAGCCTGCATGGGTGGAAGCTTGGGTACTCCATCACTGTATGACTGAAATGCAAGCACGAAAGTTTGTAAGTCTGTAACCGTACCTCACGGTGATTCACTAATAAAAAAATTTTAAAATAAAGAACAGGATAAAAATAAAATAAAAAAGTACTAAAACAGAATAAAAGTAGTAAAACAGAAGGATAAGAGTGTGTTAGGTGGCTGTGATGTCACCAAGGATAGGGGATTTTTTAAAAAATATTTATTTATTTATGTTTTTGCTTTTTGGGTCACACCTGGCGATGCTCAGGGGTTACTCCTGGCTTTTGCATTCAGGAATCACTCCTGACGGTGCTCGGGGGACCATATGGGATGCTGGGAATCAAACCCGGGTCGGCCGCATGCAAGGCAAACGCCCTACCCGCTGTGCTATTGCTCCAGCCCCGGGAATATTCTTGAGGCACATGTCTTATCCAACCCCTTCCTGGCATCAGTAAAAATAACATAAGTATAAACTCTAGTAGCTGCTCCTGCCTCTCCCCATGGAGAGTTTACAAAACTAAGGTTGTAAGGAGTCTAGAAGGAAACCCCACCTGCGAAGATACTGTAGTAACAGTTGTGAATTGTTCAGGACGTGTTTAATAGAAAGAAGCTTTGCAAAAAATTCCACACTGGCAACTACAAAAACGAAGACAGAATGATAGTATGACTGGTAGGGTGTTTGCCTTGCACATGACTGATCTGAGTTTGATCCTCTGGATCCCATATAGTCTCCCAAGCACTGCCAGGATTAACCCCTGGCTGGATGTGACCCCCCCCCCCAAAAAAAAATGGAAGGAAAGAAGGGAGAGAGGGAGGGAGGAAGAGAGGAAAGGAAATGTAGACAATGTAAATAAACATGGTTAGAAGATTCAATACTGTTAAGATGTCAGTTCTCCCCAGTTTTGATCTTAAGATTCACCAGTTTTATTAAACTCTCTCAGGGGAGATCAACAAGCTGATTGTGAAACATACAGAGAAGCACACAGGACCTCGAATACCCAAATAAAATGAGTTGAAGAACTTAAGCAATCTGACTGCAAGTCTTACACACTGTAGTAATCAAAATTGTGGTGCTGACAGAAGGACCAGTAAATAGATTAACAGAACAAAATACCGCCTAAAAAATAGACCCATGATTAAATGTCTTTTAAATTTTTAGCGAAGTTGCCAAGGCAGTTCAGTGGCGGGGGAGGCTGGGGGTGGAAGAATGTGTTTTCAAATAAATAAAGCTGGAACAACTAAATATGAACATAAGTTAAAATTAACCATGCATGATCTTACCAGGCCTTACACAAAAATTAATATGAGGCGGATTATAGATTTAATGTAAAAGCTTAAACAATACAACTTCTGAAGATCACATCTGTGACTGCCAAGGCATCCTGTGTTAGGCTGAGATTTCATAGCTAAGAACAGAGCAGGTAGAAAACACCTGACAGAAAATACTTCAAGAAAATACTTGAGGGTAGCACAGCAGGAAGGGCATTTGCCTTGCACAAGGTCAACCTGTGTTCAATGTTCAGCATCCATGTGATCCCCTGAGCCACACCAGGAGTAACTTCTGAGCACAAAGCCAGGAATAACTCTTGAGCATTGCTGGGTGTGGCCAAAAAAAAAAAAAAACAGAAAATGCTTGAAAAAACAAACCAAAAAAAAGAAGAAGAAGAAAAGAAAGAAAATAGTTGATAAATTAGACTTTGCTCAAAGGAAAACCCTTGGAGGCCCAGAATGTGACCAAGTGGTGGAGCATGTGCCTTGAATATACGAAGTTCTGGATTCAATGTCCAGTACTTTATGGACTCCTGAACCCTGCTATGGCTGTATCCCTGCTGGTCTCCCTGCCCTGGACCTCTAGTCTAAGGATCACCCAAAGTGACCATGTGCTCTGGGCACTGTTGGCAATGGTTCCCCCCCCACCCCCACAATGAACTCTTTTGCTTATAGATACTATCACAAGCAGTCTAATTTTTGAAGAGTCCCCAAATCCGGAAACTGAAAATGTTAGACTGAGGAAACTGAATTAAGAGAGTAATTAGAACAGCACTTAAAATAAGAGCATATGACTTAATATCTTCAAAGGAGCAGAGGAAATTATTAAATAATGAATAACGAAACAGGAAAAGGTACTAATAAAAAATAACCAAATACATCTTTAAAATTAAAAAAAGAAAAATTATTGAAATGAATAAAAATTACTAAATTGTCACATGAAACAGGGATTAGTAAAGTCCCAGCTTAATCCTGAGCATGGTATGAAGAATTTAAGCAGTAAATTAAATAGAATAAAATTAAAAAGAGCTAAATAAAAATAGATCTAGAAAGACCATAGCAGCATTAATTTAAAAGGAGTTTTGTAAGAGAGAAAAAGATTGGAAAAGGGGTGATTTTTGAAAAATATAATAGCTGAAAAATTCCCAGAACTACAGAAAGATCTCAAATTGACAGTCCACTGAATTCTTAAAAAAAAAAACAAGTTTCCTATATTGATTCATACACAGATTCATGTCCACTCATGGGACTGTATTTCGGCATATCTCAAGGTAATAAATAAATATTGAATGTTTACCTGACAACCACTGATTTGTTGAAAGAGGAAAGTTGTTTTTGATAACTAACATCTAAGTAGAACTAAACAAAGGTATAAATGTTTAAAAATAATTTGAGTGGCCATTCTATAAAAGACTGTAAAACACTTCCTCTGATACAGCACTGGGATTTACTGAAACGTGGTCAAGTGTTCCTCAGGGGGCTGCCTGCTTCCAAGTCTGCACGGATAGAGTGGCAGAAAGAAACAATCATGGTTTTAATTCTTTTGAACACTTGGTGCACACCAAGTGATTTCCATACATTACACTAATCTTTACTGCAAATAGTTCTCATTTTACTATCCAGGAACCTTGGGTCAAAGGGGCAGAGTATTCCCAGGATGTCCCTATACGTGGGCTTTCCCTGGTTCTGTTTATGTGAACTGCCTCATTCTGCCTTGAGACCACCTGAGTCTTAAGTGTGAAACACATGCATCATCTCTCTTCAAGTGTTTAAGATCTCTCTCCTAAAATGAGTCAGAGAGAGAGGGACAGTCATAGAATGATCGTGTTCATTTGTGGGATAGGCAAAATACAAAACACAACATAGTATTGAGAATAATACCCCAAAAATTACAGCCGGGAGGACTGTAAAAAGCTTGCCACCAAGGGCAAGGGAGAGTGCAGTTAGGACAGAGAAGGGACCACTATGACAGTGATAGTTGGAAATGATCCCTCTGGACAAGAACTGAGTGCTGAAGGGAGGTAAAGTGATAAGCATGATGACCTTTCAGTAACAGTGTTGCAAACCACAGTGCCTAAAAGGAGAAAAGGAAAAGTGGGAGGGGAAGGTATCTGCCATAGAGGCAGAGGCAGGCTGTGGGAAGAGAGGGACTGGGGACTTGGTGGCGGGAAATGTACACTGGTGAAGGGATGGGAGTTGGACTATATTGATACATACAGAGATACATGACTGAAACCCAGTCATGAACAACTTTGTAAATGTATGTCCCACGGTGATTCAATTTTTTAAAAAAAGGGAAAAAAATTTCCTCAGATGGATTCTCGATTTCCTGACAACCATTGGATTTTATGGTTATTATAAGATCTTTTTAAAGTGTGTCTACTTGACTCTTTTTTTTTTTTTTTTTTTTGCTTTTTGGGTCACACCCAGCGATGCTC